CATACATACATACATACATACATACACACAATTTTTTTATTGGTTAGCTTCAGCCTATAGAAACATAATTCATTGCAGATGTGTACCTTGGCAACATGCCTGATATGGTAATATTTACTGACAAACTATTATATCAAATCAACATAATAGCTTTTAATATCAAACTGAGTTTCAGTAAAGCGCTGACCTAAATCAAACATATCTCGTCTTTTGAGATGTCAGATAAATAATGAATAAAAAATAAGATATTTAAGACCAACTACAGGTGTTTACCTTCCAGCAGGACATTAATCCTAAACACAATGATGGAGAAATACAATCCATGTGTCTCATTTGATTTGAAGTTTGCTGGAAATGAGAAACATTCATGCCACTTAAAGCTGGAGCATTTTGTTTAATAATGGAAGAATTACTAATTATTTGAGCTCATTATTCTGAAACATCTTTTGTAAAAATCACTACTTATAATCAAATTTCAAATGTTTTAAATTCCAGTTTACAAGACAACAATCAACTGACTGCATTAATAAAACATTTTTTTCTTGTTTGTTTTAATATATTTGAGCAGAAATTGTTTTCATAGCAATTTTTGTTTTTACTTAAACTAATATAATTTTAACTGGCCTGAAAAAAACATTTTATTATTGAGGCAAATGTGTTAAAACAAACAAAACGACAACGACAACGACGACAACGACAACGACGACAACAATAACAACAACAACAACAACAACCAAAAATAAATAAACATTTTAATTCACAGGTGCGTTATACTCTCCTGAATAAAGAAATGTCTTCGGAGCTGATAGCTCGGTTGTTCTGTGTGCTGTTTTAGTTTTGTCAGAGCAGAGTTTGTGTTGTCCATTTATTAGATTTCCTCCATACACATATATATAGAACCTCCTTGATTTCCTTTGTGTTTGTCTCCCCCTCGTGGTGATGTTTAGAAACTACAGGCTGTGTCTCAATAGGCCCAGTTCTTCTTTAGCTTCTGTTTCTGGTGGTGCAAATTTTACAGCAACACCGCCAAGGTTGGTTTACTACTATTAAATCCTCTTTTACAGGCGTGTTCAAACGTTTGTCTGCATATATCGGTTTTATTTACAGCGTATTTGCGTGTGTTTGTTAAAGTCAGAGAGAGACACGGGGGTAGCAGCGGTTAGATTGAGAGAAGGTCGCGAGCTCGTCTTTCTGTCTGTGGAGTTCGCATGTTTTCACGCACGCGTGGGTTTTCTCTGGTTGCTCCCAACAGACCACAGTGACATGTTGTTAATATTAATTAGTAACTAAATTGTCCTTATGTGTGGGTGAGAGTGTAAATAATTGTTTGTCTGATGGATTGCGACCTGTTCAACGAAGCTGAAGTTAGCTTCCGATTCGGGAAATGACTAAAGGGATATTTATTACAACTAATTTTTCACTAACTTGCACGTGTTTAACCTGCTCTAGCTCAAAAACTACAACACCTACACTCTTCAAATCTGGACTAGATTATTCTACACTAATAGAAGAATATTTAAAAACACGTTTGGGATTTGGGAAAGCTTTGTTTGATTTGTGAAACTTCTACAAAGTTTGTTTTTCATCATTTTTTATGCAACTGGACCACATTAGACCTGATCCAGCTCAAAAACTACAACACCTGGACTCTTCAAACCAGGACTAGATTACTCTACACTAATAGAAGAACATGAAAAACTAAGTTTGAGTTTTGGGAAACCTTTGTCTGATTTGTGAAAAATCAATAAAGTTTGTTTTACATTGTTTTTATGCAACTGGACCACATTAGACCTGATCCAGCTCAAAAACTACAACACCTGGACTCTTCAAACCAAGACTAGATTATTCTACACTAATATTGGAACATGAAAAACTAAGTTTGAGTTTTGGGAAACCTTTGTCTGATTTGTGAAAAATCAATAAAGTTTGTTTTTCATCATTTTTTAGGCAACTGGACCACACTAGGCCTGGTCCAACGCAAGAGTCCAGGTGTTGTGGTTTTTGAGCTGGACCAAGTCTAATGTGGTCCAGTTGCATAAAAACAATGTAAAACAAACTTTATTGATTTTTCACAAATCAGACAAAGGTTTCCCAAAGCTCAACCTTAGTTTTACATAATAATCTAGTCCTGGTTTGAAGAGTCTAGGTGTTGTAGTTTTTGAGCTGGACCAGGTCTAGTGTGGTCCAGTTGCATAAAAAAACAATGAAAAACAAACTTTATTGATTTTTCACAAATCAGACAAAGGTTTCCCAAAGCTCAAACTCAGTTTTTATTATTCTTCTATTAGTGTAGAATAATATACAGTAGTCCTGGTTTGAAGAGTCCAGGTG